CTTTCCTTCCCCTCATCTCTCTAAAGTAATATGCTACATTTAATTCCACACTCAAAATCTCTCAGAGATAGGGTGAAAGGTTAAGGGGGGAAAAAAACCTCTCACCTTATTGGAAAAAGTTGGGGCAGGAAATTAAATATTCTCTGTAATCTTAGCAGACAAACTGTTTTTATCCTCTTTCCTCTTTGTTTCCACAAATGTTTCTGTTCAAACTTCCCCAACAAAATTCAATGATCAGGTTTCCATCCTGCTTTATCTAGTCAGCATCTCTAGTCCCCTGTAAAATTGTGGAGAAAAAGGTAAAGAAAGTTTGGACAAGTTCAAAAAAATGCTGTTTGATGCTGTATTTTTTATTTAAGTCAAGTTTTATGATCAACATCTGTGTATTTCAATATAAGAATTTTCTAACTTTTTTGAGGTGGCAATGATTACATTTGATGTTCAAACATTTTCATTTTTCTAGAGGATCATTTACTGTCAAATAAAGATTGTTCCTCACTTCAACTTAACTGTAGTTACCAAAAAAAAAAAAAACCTATCTTCATTGCCTGCAAGGTACGTGGGAGGGTACATCATCCTACCTAGAAGCCCAGACGACGTCATCTTTTAGCCCTAATTAACTGTTTTATAGGTAATTTTATAGGTACACACGCATGCCCACCATAGGAAGGGGTATATTTTATACCCCGACCAGAAGAAAGGGAAGGGGGCGGGTAGTCGTCAATTCCAGGAAGGACCAAACTTCTGGGTCCCCGACACTGGAGGGAGCCTCGTCTCGAGCGCCTACTTTATACCCTGTGATTTTGGTAAGATCGGAAAAGATTTCCCATTGTGGAAAGAGGTCATCGTTTTGTTATAGTATTATCCTGTCAGGAAAACGCTCAACTTAACATCATTGATCCTACGTCCACTTGGAAGAAGAGGAGCAAAACTTGACAGCCTCGGATCTCTGGTCAAATCAAACACAACCCTGCACAGCGGCATGCTCAGCAAGAGCGAGGACCCGGGCCCGGCGCGTCCAAGGTGCCCGGAAGGAAACAAAACTGGTTTCCACCCGCCAAGGGGCATTCGCTCACCACCCAAGTCGCAGCTGGGGACAGGCCCACCGCAGGGCCGCGCGACACGTCTGCGCTCGGAGGCCTCGGACCCTCTCCCGGGCCACGGCGTGGAAGCCTCAAACACACCAAAAGGAGAACGAGCGAACCCAAGCGAGTTCGAAGAGCCGCGCGAACCGTTGGGACGCGCCTCCTCGGCCGCAGCCCCGCCCCCCGCGCTGACTCCGCGAGCGTAACGTCGCGGTCGCAGGGCCTGCCGGGGATCGTGGTCAGCTAGAGCCGTAGAGCCCGCTCCCCGTGCTTTTCCGGGACTACATTTCCCACAATTATAGCGAAGACGCCCATTGGTGTGGGGAAGCCAGGAGAACCTGCGGCGGTTTGAGTATGAGGCTGACGGCCCTGACGCTGGGCGTGAGGAGGCTGGGACTGGGGGGGGGCGGTGAGGAAAAGGAATGCTAGCCCCGCCCTCAGTCCCTACCCTTTGGAGGACAGCACTTTTCACACAGCGCGTTTGCCGCCGCCGCGGCCGCCACCTGAACTTTCTTCATATTCTGAGTCTCCCTGCCACGAGGAGTCCAGGGAAAAAAAGCGGAGCCGAGGCGCCAGTATCTACACCTCCCACGCCACTTTCAGCCCAAGCTCGCCCCAGCAGGGATGGGAGACAAGATCTGGCTGCCCTTCCCTGTGCTCCTCCTGGCCACTCTGACCCCAGAGCTGCTGCCGGGGGCGGCCGGCTTCACTCCCTCTTTGGACAGCGACTTCACCTTCACCCTTCCCGCCGGGCAGAAAGAGTGTTTCTACCAGCCCATGCCCCTGAAGGCCTCGCTGGAGATCGAGTATCAAGT